TTTCTTGGGGAGCGGGTTGAGGAGGAGGCTGGGGGAGCCCATGTGTGCTCCTCTGCCCATCAGCCTCTCCGGAGCAGACAGACGCGATGCTCTGCCTTACTGCTGGCCACGCTGGGCGGCTGCATGCAGTAACTCTTCCTTTGACTTCTTAACACCCACTAAAAAGTAATGCAATGTAAGAGCTGATGTTTTATTCCTACCCTTTTGTTTCTTATCTTTTAGCTAGTTGTCTGTGCGGGATCTGATCCTTCTCCTTGCTGCCTTTTAGCTCAATTTCTGTAGAACTGAAGGAGAAAACCCTCAGTGAGCCATGTGCTGTTCTGGCCCCCGTGTACATGCTCCCCAGCTTCTCTGCTGTGGGCTGGACCAAGGGCCCTCCTTGGGACCCATCCTGCTCACAGCATCCCTTACCAGTCCTGGCTCCTAGCAAAACGTGCTGTTCTGGCCCCCGTGTGCATGCTCTCCAGCTTCTCTGCTGTGGGCTGGACCAGGGCCCTCCTTGGGACCCATCCTGCTCACGGCATCCCTTACCAGTCCTGGCTCCTAGCAAATCCACTTGACTGGGAGGCTCTGCTGAGCCCCCAGCAAGGCTGGGCTGCCCTTCAGGTCCTGCATCTTCTCTCCCTGTCAGCCCACGTACCCTGTTAGTGCTCACCAGGTTAATGTCTGCCTTGGTGCACAGGATGGAGCCTATAAGAGCTGGATTTGGTGCTGATTTGGGCACCTAGTGCTTGTGCTGCCCAGCCCTTTCCAAATCTGTGTACTTGACCAAGCAGCATCTGTCTGACTGCCTGGATGTGGCTGTGGTGACAGTGTAGGAGACTATTTTCTTATTTCTCCAGTGTCTTCAATTCTCCAAGCAGGTCCAGACTCCATGCTGCTCGTTTCCATCTCCCAGGGCTGTCTGATAACTTTCTGGTGGTCTCTGCTGTGACCAGTGATGAGTGCTTGTCCCAGGAGGACAGGACGTCTGTAACAGATGCTCATCCTTGATGTCTGTGGAGCATCAATTAGTGTTTACAGGTTTCCACTCCCATTTACCATGCTGGATTTGACCGGATAACCTGGCAGCAAGAGGCTCTGTCGCCTGCTCCTGGCCACATTCCATCTCAGCCCATTCCCTTGCTGCTGGGAGGAAACGTGGATGCTGCTCCCAAGGCTGTGGGTGTGAACTGAGGCCAGCGTTAATGTGAGCTGTTGCTGCGTGGGGGATTTGTGAGTTACTCGGGGCAGACCCTATAAGCTTTGCTACTGACAGTGGGATTTTGAAGGGGAAAAGCAAAGTGAGCCCTCTTCCTTGACACCCCTTCCTCAATAGCCTACGCTTGTTATCCCAGAATGAAATAAGACGGATCTGGCAAGACCCTGCAATTAGCTGTTATGCAAGACCCTTGTTACGCTGTTTTCTGTGCCCCCTGAGTTTCCACCTCCTCCAGGCACCAGCTTGAGGGTCCCCAAGCCGGAGGGAAGCCTGGCAGCTCTGCTGCGGTATTGTCGTCCCTCTGCCCCATCCCAGCTCCAAGGGGCATTGATGTGCTCCCTCCTTGCTCCTGCTCCTCTCCTGGGGCATGGTCCACATGTGGTCCACACTTGCTGTTGGCGAGCCTGAGATGAAATCCAGGTCTCAGGGAGAAGTTATGAGATGCCACCATCATGCAAGGTGAAGGTGGCTGGATCCTAGCTCTTGTCCCCTTGCCCATGGCAGTCAGCCCCCTGCTTGTGTTGCTTGTCCAGGGCAGGTGGAGAAACCACAGTGGCCAGTGAGGAAAGAGCCACATCCCCATCACATGTGCAGACACGTCTCTACTCAGTAAAATATTTATTCCTCCATTATTTCACAAGAGTTGTTTTTACAAAAACCTTACAAAAATTTCCAAAACACAGACATGCAGAAGAAAAAAAAAATATCCACTGTGGATCTTGTTACAAGTAATTGAAATGTACAAATAGAAAGAGTGAGAGGGAGCTTTGGTTACAATAATCCCTCCGTCCTGCTGCCCCTCCGTGGGTGCGATTTGTATCTCGTCTTGGTGAGGCTTCAGTGATAAGCTGCCAAGAGCACGGCGAAGGAGGGGCCCTAAGATTAGGAGCGAATGTTTTCAAATATATATATACATATAGATATTTAGTGAAGAAATATTTATTCCCTGCTTTTTTTAGGTTTACAGAAACAGCATCTGCAAACTATTAAATGGGTTTATTTTCATTAATGCTCTCAAAGAGGCAGCGACATTTATATCCCTGTGGTTTCATCTTGTATAACTGAAAAAAAGAAGACCCCTGTGCTTTCCATGGGAATAGGATCCCCCTGGCCCCCTCCTCCTACCCCAGGCCGTGTTTCTCATGGTGGGTGATTTCATCCCCAGTGGATCCGTCTTCCCCCTGACCTGATGTGTCTCAGCTTTTGTCAGGTCTCTGTGTGGTGACGTGCTGCAGTCTGGGGAGCTGTGTGGTCCTCTTCTGGCATGGCGAATGGGAGGCAAACCAGCCCTGGAAATAGGGGTGGGGAGCATAGGATGGGTATTTAGGGTGACTTTGCTCCCTGGATGAGGTGAATTGTGCTGGAGGAGGAGGCTGTTCCCATCTGGGGGCTGCATCGGATGGAGCAGAGAAAGCCAGGGCTGGGGGCAGGGTGGAGGGGCTGGTTCAGCCCCCTTCAGAGGAGATGTGCTCCTCTCCTAATTCTCCCATCGGGTCTCCAGGTGCTGGGTGAGTCCCCCTAGGCAGGTGCTGCCTGGGGTGAAGCTGAGGGTCCTGGTGTCACAGCCACTGGGTACCACGTGTGGCTGCAGTGAGAGCCCCAGAGGGAAAGGGAAAGGATGCTTCTGGGAGCGGTGGGGACTCAGGTGGGCACACATGTAGTTGGGACTCTCAGCCTTGGCGTTGCACACTGGAGGACACTTATCTGGAGGAACCACCTTAGTGATTGCTGTATTTGTCCTCAAATCTGCTGCTACAGTCCCCAGAAGGGCAAAACCCTTCTTGGCTGCAGTGAGAGCCCCAGAGGGAAAGGGAAAGGATGCTTCTGGGAGCGGTGGGGACTCAGGTGGGCACACATGTAGTTGGGACTCTCAGCCTTGGCGTTGCACACTGGAGGACACTTATCTGGAGGAACCACCTTAGTGATTGCTGTATTTGTCCTCAAATCTGCTGCTACAGTCCCCAGAAGGGCAAAACCCTTCTAGGCAAGTAGGGCTGGTGCCTTCTCCATCCAGGCCACTGGTCTGAGCTGGTGGTGTCCCTGTGCTTGGCTGGTGGCTCTTTGCAGTGGATGAGGAAAGGCCGGTCTGGTTTCCAGAGGGCTTTGTCTTCAGGGTAAAACCTCCATCTCTCTGGCTCATCCCCTGTTGCTGCGGTGTTGGCAGGGGAAGGTGGGGGCTGCGTCTCTCTGTGGCTCAGTCCCACCAGTGAAGGACTGGTGTAGCATACGGCTGGGGCAAGGTTGCCCACCCTGTGTCCATCCCCCTGCACATCCCGCCTTGCGACCTCACTGGGCTGCAAGGGCAGGGTGGGATGAGGAGGAAACCATTTCCTTTCTGCAAAACTAAAGAAGCCAACCCCCATGGAGTCGCCAGCCCCAGATCCCCGCACACATCTGCGGAGCTGCTGACGGGGAGGCTGTGCCTCCGGAAGGCGAAGCCTGCTTTGCCGTTGGCACGGAGGGCTGGGAGCCGCCTACTC